ATGGAAAAGGTGTCTGTGCAAGAGTGAGGGGTATGTGAGTGTGTGAGATAAACATGAGTGGGCATGTGGGAGGGGTCTGTGAGCACGAAGCGCGTGTGTGTTGGGGGGCTGGCTGCCCCAGAGCATGCTGGGTGAAGTCTCAAGAAACTCCTCTGATATGAAATGCCAACTGCACGTGACCGACAAAGAGCTCGCTCTTGGGAAGAAGCGCACTTGGGCCTCCGGGCTGCAGACAATGGCTTCTTGGTGCTCTGCTTTCCACCATCGGGAACACGGGTGCTGGGGGTCCTCTGAGCCAGGCCCACAGCTCTCTGGGAGCTCAACCGAACTGGGATATTTGGAAAAACAGCCCATCATGTAAAGCATTAAAACAAAGGGCCATATCACGATGGAGAATGCCAACCGGGCATGAGTTAACACAGGACACTGGAGATGTTTTGCCCATGCAGCCAGCTGGCCTGTCATCCTCTCTCCAGAGGCCATCTCTTCTGCCCTGTCACTCCTTGCACTGTGGGTGGAGCGAGACATCACACTTTTTAAGCTGACCTTCCCCAAACCCTTCTTGAGGCATCAGTCTGCTATTCGAGGTCTGCACAGACACCTCATTGCCTCCTGACCTCTTTTCTTTTTTTTTTTTTTTAATTTTTTTAACGTTTATTTATTTTTGAGACAGAGAGAGACAGAGCATGAACAGGGGAGGGGCAGAGAGAGAGGGAGACACAGAATCCGAAACAGGCTCCAGGCTCTGAGCTGTCAGCACAGAGCCCGACGCGGAGCTCGAACTCACGGACCGCGAGATCATGACCTGAGCCGAAGTCGGACGCTCAACCGACCAGGCCACCCAGGTGCCCCATCCTGACCTCTTTTCACACCACTCCCCACTCGTGGGTGCACTTGGCACCCCAAGTCTCCCTCCCCTTGAGAGCCAGTTATAACAACAGGATCCTCCAGGAAGCCTTCCTAGATTAGCTCAGTCTTCAGGGGACTCTTGTTGCCTCACTCGTCCATCCACAGCATCCACTGAGTTGAGCTGGGACCCCCCAAACGGTATGTTGACCTCCTAACCCCTGATATCTGTGAATGTGACTTTTTTAGGAAAGAGGGTCTTTGCAGATGTAATCAAGTTAAGGCGAGGTCCTACTGGATTAGGACAGCCCTAATCCAGTGACTGGTGTCCTTACAAGATGAGAGAAACGTGGACACAGACACCCAGGAGAGAAGGCCGTGGAGACAGAGGCAGAGCTTGGAGTCGTGTGACCACGAGCCAAGGAACACCAAGGATTTCTGGAGCCACGAGGAGCTAGGAAGAGGCGAGGAAGCCCCCTTCCTTGACTTCAGATTTCTAGAATTGTGAGAATCCATTTCTGTTGCTTTCAGCCACCAGTTTATGGCATTTTACTTGGGCAGGCTTAGGAAGCCAATGCGAATGGCAGCTTTTATTTTGCCCAACCTGCCTGGGTCCTTTTATGTGCCCGCCTCTTTGATCTCATCCATTGGATAACCCCAGTTCTCTGGAGCTGGAGGCCTTTGGCTCAAGGCTTTGGTCCAGTCTGTAGCCACCTGGGGACATGGATAGACGACTGACCTTTGCAGCCACTCCCCTTACTGCAGAGCTCGGAGGCGTCTTGCACACCTCTGAGCTGGGTTAGAATTTCCCTCCCCTCACTTACAAGTTGTGCCACATGGGTCAGCCACAGGGGCTCTCTGGGCCTCCGTTTCTTCTTTAATATGGGGGTTGGAAAGGGCTAACCCTACCCCACCTCCCGTGTAAGATCTCGGCCAGCCAGAAAGCCCAACGCAAGTGTAAGAGATTATTAGAAAAAAAAAAATCTGGAGAAAATGAAGCAATGGAGGGGAGAGACTTCTTTACTCCTTGTGGTCCCAACCGCCCCCCCTCCCCCAGAGCTTGGTTGCCCAGCAAATGGACCTTCCTCCAGAGAAGGCCTGGGGAGCTTGGTCCCCATGTTTTCCAAGGACTCCAACCCCAACTGGGATTCTCGTTTTAGATGCTGTCTTGGTGATTTCACTTCCTTCATTTTCCTCAGAAGAGGACCTTGGGATATCCCACAAATCTGATCGTGGTGCTCATCTGCTTAAAATCCTTAATCTGCTCCCAATTTCTCCTATGGATAAATTCCTTAGCAAGGTACGCGAGGCCCTTCTTGATCTGCCCTGCCTGCACTCCCGGCCCCTAGAATCTCCACGATGTGCAAGCTGTACCCCAAATAAGCCAGACCCTTTCTCCCAGCTGGCTTGAGACTGCCCCTACCTCTCCTTCAACAACAACAACAACAACAAGTCAGCTACTCACCTAATATACCCGAATCATTTTACTTGTTGTGGTGAAGGGCTTTGGGGGCGGGGGGCGGGGGGGCTCTTTTTCTCCTAGCGAGGAATTATTTTGCCCATTTTACAAATAAGGAAACAGACTCGGAGAGGTTAACAACATATCCATAGTCAATCAGCACACGACAGTCATGATTTGAGCCCATCTCTCTTGCTTCAAAGCCTGGGGTCATCCTCCTCTGCCTGACTGGTCTCTCTCTTCTTTCAAAGTGCAGTTTGGGATTTTCTGGAAACCTGTCCTGACACCCCCAGTCCTTCTCTGCTGCCTAGTCACCACAGGTAGGGTACCTCTGGATTGCGCTAGCAAAGGCCCGACACTTATCTCATCAAATGGAAATGCAGATTTAGTCCCTTTGTCTCCCTTCTAAGGTTGCGACTGCCCAGAGGGCGGGAACTCACGTCTAGGTAATGGGTGTTGAATGTCAAACAATGCTTTGGAACAGCCAATGGAACGAAAAAGCTGGAAGGGAGCTTTCCTGGGATATAAATGTAGAAATATGCTCATTTCTTCTTCTTCTTCTTTTATTTTTTTTTTTCTTTTTTTCGATTTTTAACGTTTATTTCTGAGACAGCGAGCACAGGAGAGGGTCAGAAACAGGGCGACAGAGGATCCGAAGCAAGCTCTGCACAGCGAGCCAAAATCAAGAGTCCACCACTTAGGGGCGCCTGGGTGGCTCAGCGGGTTAGGCGGTCGACTCTGGCTCGGGTTGTGATCTGGCGGTTCGTGAGTTCGAGCCCCGCATCAGGTTCTGTGCTGACAGCTCAGAGCCTGGAACCTGCTTCAGATTCTGGGTCTCCCTCTCTCTCTGCCCCTCCTCGATGTGCGCCCATACATGTTCTCTCTCTCTCTCAAAAATAAACATTAAAAAAATTTTTTTAAGAGTCCACTGCTTAACCCACTGAGCCACTCAGGCACCCCTATGTTTATTTCTTATTAGGGAGCCCTTTCTACTCTTTCCTTGCTAATCCTCAGACTCCTTCCTTGGGAAAAGAGTCTCCATCTTTCCAGGTTTGGCATGTGGAACCCCTTACACGGTGCGGCGCGGCTGATATCCTCGCCTTCCCTGTATGCTAGTTCATTTGAGGCAAAGCGGTGCTGTGGTCACAAGTTTTGAAATCAGACATGGCTCAGTCACTTCCTAGCTTGTGACCTTTGACAAGTTACGTAACCTCTTCGAGCCTTAGTTTTCTCATCTGCAAAATGGGAAACTGCTTACCTCGTAAAGTTGATCTAAGGATTGGGAGTACTTGTGAGATGGCATCATCATCGCTCTTGTTATACAGATTGGGAAATGAAGATGAGAGGAGGGGAGGGATCTTTCCAGGGAGGGATGGTGATAGGAGAGCCTATGGGGGGAGAGGGGGAGGGAGGCCTGGAGTCAGGCCATCTCACCCCAGATCCTGAGCTGCCTCCATGGCACCATGAGGTGCAGACCAAGGGGTTTACTTGGTTTACTGACATTCCCGATTTCCCCAGCTCGGTGAAGCACCCCAAAATAGACCTCCAAGACGTAAGTCCTCAGCAGATACCAGCTCCACCTCTTAGCGGCCCTCATAGATTCTAGTGGCTAGTCCCCCATTCTCATAATGGGAAGAACCTTTTTCAGACTGGCTGTACCCTCTGAGGTTCCGACCATTTAAAAATACTTCATTCCCACGCACAGATCGGGTACCATTTTGTGTGCTTGGAAAGTCCCCTCCCCCAACACACACACACACACACACACACACACACACACACACACACACACGGGGCTTTGGTTTCCTCTTGGAAAGTGGGGAGGGACCCCTTTTCTCAGGGAGAGTGGAAGGGGACGGCGCAGAAGTAACGTGGAAGGGGAAGACCAGGCCAGGGCTGGACTTTGGAGTGGCTTCCTTAACATGCTGTTCCATCCCTACAGGATCTGTGGGTCCTCCAGGATCTTCTAACAAGTTACTTCGGCAGCTAACAGAACCGAAGTACGGGGTTCCAGAAGCAATAAGAAGGCACCCTTCCTCCCAGTCCGCTCACCAGGAACCCCCCCTGGCCACAGGATGCCTCTAGCCGGGGTGGGAAGGCAAGGCTGGGCCAGCAGGGGGCAGCACCCTTGGGGCCTGAGGAAGGGACAAACACCCCTGTCCCTCGAAGACCCAGGGGCAGAGTCACTTCCTCCAGGAGGCTCCCTCTGTTCCTGCCTCATTAGAATGAATGACACCATCACACAGGAAGTGCTGACTCCCCCACAGCCCTTGGTGGGGGGGGGGGGGGGCAGGTTTTCCTTTGTAGTCCCCGTGCTGGCACAGCTTTTCAAAATAACCGGAAATCAGAAAGAGGCGCTCTACGAGCCAGGGGGGGGGCACGTCCTTCACGGCAAGTCAGTGAGCGATCCCCGTCCAACTTCAGGCAAGACAGAAGTGAACTTCGGCTGAGTGAATTGAGGCCAGGCACGAAGAGGTCAGCCTTTCCTAACACAGAGGAGACTAGGCACTGAGGAGGGCTGCCCTGTACTGGGAGTGAGGTGACCGGGCAGGAGGTGCTTTGGAGGCGGAACCCACAACAGCTGGTCGCCTGGGGCCCTATTTAGTCTGAGACAGTCAGAGGGACTATTTCATGGGGTCCCCTCTACCCATCAAGACACCCACCCACCCCACCCCTGCACCAGGTACCCGAGAGAATAGGAATATAGATTTTAATTGTTGTGCTGCTGCTGTCAACCAGAGTGCAGTTAATCCATCCTTCGTGGATTTGGATGCCACAGTGTACATGAGAAGGTTTTGCCCAGAAATGCGCTGGGGCCGCGGGTGACAAAAGGGCGAGGGGAGGGTGGCGGAAGGAGAAAGTGAGCGAGGGGAGGAGCGGGAAGCAGAGCCTGGGCTGGGCATCTGCTGCTTCTCCATCGTCACTTTCCCGTCGAGGACCCGAGAGGCACGGGTCCTTCCTGGCCGAGGCTACTGACCTGGACCAGTCCCCGTGAACCTGACTCCAAGGCCAATTCTTGCTGAGGGGACGAGGGCTAGGGCAGGCCCACGGCTGACCACCAAATGGGGAAGGGATGTAGACCAAGGGAGAAGCGAGGGGTTTGGGACTCCTTGCGAACCTTCTCCGTTTTCCATCCCGAGGGACCCTCAAACTAGTTCAGAGCTGGGGAGAGGACAGTGATAGCAGCTGTCTTCGGCCCTGCCCACCCCCTACCCTGGACACGGGGGGAGGTGGAACTCACAGGAAGGGGAGGTAGCCAGTACTCCTGTGTCTTTCTCTGCCTGAGCAGGAAGGGGGGACTCTCCTCAGAGTTCAGCTGGCCTCCAGCTGGAGGCTGGCTGAGTCCCTGGGACTTTGCATGGTTTCCTGGGATGGGTAGGGTTTGGAGGCGGAGGGAGGTCCCTCAGAACCCCGGGGCCTGACCCCACTAGCTGCTGACAGGAGCTGGCATCCTGGGAAGTCGCCCACACTGCTTTGACGAGACCATTCCTCTTGTGGAGAGTGGGCTGATCCGGTCCGGGGCACAGGCGCTGTGCTGAGAGCTAGGAGTCAGAGACACACAGGGCTTCCACTGCGTCGCTCAGACCCTGGTTGACGCCCCCCACAGCCAGGAGGCAGTTCTTGACGACAACGCTGGAGCAGGCGCAGCGGGGCGTGGGCATGGTGGGGAGGGCCTCCCACTTGTTCCTCCCCGGGTGGAGCGCCTCTGCTGTCTCCAGGACAGTGGGCTGGTTCCCTGAAAGCGCCAAGGGAACCGGACCTTACGAAGAAGTCCAGCCCCCAATCCATGCCCCCCCCCCCCCGCCCCTGGAATCCACAAGCAGAAGCCAAGTGACTTTAGTTCCTGGGCTGTAGAAACGCTCCTTCCCTACCCTGAGCCCTCGCTCTTGTCCGACAGCCACTTTGCCCCTCCTGCCTTCTCTCCGTCCTTCCGTCTCCTCGAGAGGAAGGCTTTCTTTCCCCACCCTCTGCTTTTACCAGAAGTTTCTAGTCACCGCTGCCTCTCTTTTGCCTTTCACTAAAAATCCGCCCCCGTGGGTTTGTGAAGCCCAGCTGGGAAGAGGGGTTTTTGAATGGTTTGGGAGAACGCGGTAGGCAGGCGGTGCGCAGGCAGCCGGTGCCTTCTCCCGCTCGGGCACGGTGTCAGGTAACAGCCTGGAAGCCTCATCCTTACCAAGTCCTCCGGCCACTATGACCCGTCCACTCAGAGCGCCGGCCACAAAGTCTGCCCGCCGCTTCCTGAGGAAGAACGAGCGTTCCATCTTCAGCCATCCCCCTGCGGGCCGTGGATCACGGCAGGATAAATTTAGAGAGAGTGAGACGCTGACCTCCCCCGCCAAGTACACACGGAGTCCCCAGAGCTCACATCCTGGGTGGGCGTCCACCCCATCTAGGCTTTGTGCTCAGCGCATAAACTCCGCCTCCTGCTGTTTGAAATGATGCACTCCGGGGCCTCTACACCCTCTCCCAGGCTTGCTACAGTCCAAGGAACCATAATCTCCTACAACCAATCACCTTGTTCTAACCCCTGTTCTCAAGGTCTCTGAGCTGGAGAGGAGGTTAACTAGAGGCAGTGAGCGTGGGAGTCGGGATCCTTCTGTGTCTGCATCAGTAAAAAGCCGGAAAAGCCCTCCCTCACCGGGCCCTGCCTGAATGTCGTAAGAAGAGAAAATGGCAAAGGCTTTGATAAAAATAACCAGCCAACCCAGAGGAGCCCTGTCCAGAGGAGAGAATGCGATCCCAAGAGGAGGCCTGAGTGGAGAGGGCTGTTCCGACCCCTGAAAGGCTCACCCCCCTGGATCAGCGGCTTGGGCGGGCGCATGGGATGGGGACTCAGCCAGAGCGGGGTGGGCGGCTAGAGGCCGGTGCCCTGCTCACCTTGTTCCATGTCGAACACGTCCATCGTCCGGAGGAACTTGGGCTGCCGGTAGAGCCGACCCTGCCTCAGGCCTCCCAGGCTGTACAAGCGGTCATCCAGGGTCACAAAGCTGGAGAAGGCCCGCTTACAGGGAATGTTGGGGAACTTGGTCCAGGAGCGAGTCTCGATGTCAAAAACCTCAAAGGCGTTGACTGCATACTTGGACTGTCGTCCCCCTGGAGGCCAGACCAGGGTTGGGAGGGTGGGGGGAGGGCAGGGGGGTTGGGCCAGAGTAAGTCCCTGAGGGCGGGGGGGGGGGAGCTGGGTTTCCCCTTTCCACGTTTACCCAACCACACAGGGAGCTCCCTGCGGGGTAAGGCATCGGTGATTGCCCCCAAGGAGATGCTCAGCACACAGACACTGACCGCTTCCTGTGGAAACTGACCCAAGGGAGAGAAGGAGGGATAGATGTGGGACAGATAACCTGTCCTTACCTAGCACATAGATCTTGGAGCCTCGGAGGAAGGAGGTGGCAGCATATCTCGGGGTGGGCATGGGTGCTAGTGACACCCACATGTCCTTGAGCATGTCATAGTGTTGGAGGTGGTTGTGCGGACGGAGGTCCAGGCCCATCCCGCCTGCCGCATACACTCGGTAATCTAAGGAGAAAGGCCACACACAACCCCTGGCTCAGCTCACGCACACTATGAGACAGGCCCATCAGTAATGACCCACCAGGCCAGGCCCCATCAACCCCTCGCACACCAGCACGGAGGCCAGGCCAGGTTCCCAACCGCTGCTGTGCCGGGGTGAGGTTGACGGAACCATGGAGAGTCTCTGCCATGGTTGAGCCTGAAGCCATGTCAGGCCTGAACGCCTCGATGTCCAGCCCGCGGCGGAGCCTCTCACAGGGTAGACTGCGGTGGAGTCGAGGCCTGGACAACCCTTTGCAGGTTTTGTCCCCTCTACACTCCTCCCTCCTGGGCAGCCAGAGGGGATGCCGAAGAGGAGGGGTAATCCTCTGATGTCCTCCAATAGTGGCCTGTTCCTTAGGCACTCCCTGCTTGGAACTCTCCAGACCCAGCAGGAGCCTTTGGAAATGAGGTCAGCCCTGCTGTCGCGGCCCTGTGGGACCCTGGACTGCTGCTGATTCTTTCTCTGTCTGCCATCCCCATGGGGGAATGCCATCCTCCTTCACACATGAGGAGGCCTGTGGGCTCCAGAAGACATCCTGAGCTAGATGGGATAGGGTTAGGGGTGAATGAGGGTGAGGCTTTGGAGGAGAGAAAAGCGGCCCCTTTAAGGAACCCAGGCAGTAAGCTGGGCACTCTGAGAGAAGTGAGTTCTCTCCCTTTTTCTATTGCTCTTGGTTGCAGGTAGCCTTTCAAGGCACACCCCTGACACAGGGCATCAGAGAGGATGAGCGAGGCACCCGCGTTTCCCTGGGCCTCACCCCAGTGCCTCCTGCAGCCTATCAGAGACACAGCTTCCCCTCCTCCCCCAGCCGACAAGCCACTCTTCTTCCCGGGGACCCATCCCTGCCCAGGATTCTATCTCCCCGTAGCCGGTCCTCACTGCTTCCAGCTCTAGGAGACCTTTATTCTGTAAGGGAATTGCAGGGAGACTACTATTTCCTTCTACTGGGTACTATTTCCAATCTTACTGAACAAGGAAAAAAAAAAATCCTAACCTTAGCCTGCGGCCAGGAGACTGGCCTGCTAATATTAGAAGGGCTTCCCTTACACAAGCTCCGCCTCTCCCATCCCTGTGTCACCTGAAACACACGTCCAGCCGACAGCCCTCATTCCCGCCACACCACCGTGCCTGTGTCAGCTCTTAATCATCCCTTCGGGTTCGCCTGGGTGTCCCTGAACTGCAAAGCGGGGCTGAGAGCACCGGCTCAGTACCGCCCAAGGTACCTGTTCACCCTGTTCACCATGCGTTATGGAAATAATCCTCGTCGGTTTCTTCCAAATAGAGAACTTGGTCATCTGTGACCCCAGCCTCTGCTTCCGTGTCTGCCACACAGGCATGTGAAAGCTTATTAAACTAACTCCTGAACCCATTCAATGCCACAGTTAAGAGCCCAGGCTCCATCATTACTCACCAGCTGTGTGGCCTTGGGCAAATTATTTAACCTCTTTGGGCCCCACATTGCTTCTCTTTAAAATGAGGATAATAATAGCACTTATCTCATCAGATAGGTTTTTGAAGATCAAAGGGGCTAAAATATATAAAGCACCCGTGGTAAGGATTCAATGAACGTTAGTTCTGTCTTTCAGCACCATTTACTGAAGCCTGGGAACAAAGGAATACCCTTTCCCTCTTTTTCCCCATGGGCCCTCCGGCTCTTATCCTTACTGATGGCCTGTGGAGGCCTCACTGGCCACTACCCTGAGGGATTCAGGCTTGGAGTTTCTCACTGGTCACCTTCATTGATCAGACTCTGACTTCTGAAAGTAGGGGCCAGACCTTCTGCCTCTTTCCTTCCTCCCTGGGACCTGGAAATGTGCCAGGGACACAGCAGACCCTCCAGAAATCCTGGCTCCTGATCTACAGTAGACCCCAGTAGGCAAATGGGATGGTTTTGCAAGAGAGGGAGGGAAGGTTGCATCCCACCAAGGCCGCCTGTCTGAGCTGCACTTGGGGTCTTCTAATTCCTGTTGGACCATTTCCCATAAAACCCTTTGTGTTTCAGCCAAAGAACTTCTGGAGCCCACTCTATGCTCTGGGCTGTACCAGGCCCAAGGAGGAAGAATGAGGGGTTTTGAGAAAGTGAAATGAAGATCCAGTAACCTCGTGGTCCCTGCATACACCCCTCGAGAACTGTGCACCTGGGCGAGGTGCTGTTGGAGCACAACCCTCAGGAACATTCTAGTCTCCATTCGCTAGTATCTCTGAGACTCGGAGGCAGAAGGGGAGGTTGAGGGTAGTGGGAAAGGCCCCGCAATCAGGCCTCAAAGCCCCACCAGAGGGGCTTAGTGATGGTACAGGGATGCAGTGAACACCCCCAGGACCCCAAATAGGTGTCTGGAGGCGGTGTCCTTCGAAGGCAGATTTCAGGGGATGAGGTGCTATGGGTGGGAGGCTCCTCATTCTGCTGAATGAAGAGGTCTGTGGAGACCCTGCACTAAGTCCCCCACTCTCCTCTCTGGCCAGGCCTGCCCAGCTCGTTGGCAGGAGGCTGGTGGAGTGCAGTTCTGGCATCACATGAAATTACTAGACACTTCACCTACTGACTCTGTTTTCCCATCTGTAAAATAAGGCCTGTGGGTCTCTAGCTTCCGTGTCTATTGTAGGGATCAAATGGGATCGGGATTGTGACAGTGGGCCCCCAACTCAGTGTTAGCTCCCATCCCTCTCCCCGTGGTCCCCCACGCCCTTCTCTCTTCCCTCCCTCAGCCCTGGCCCCACTCGCCTTTGGCCGTGACAGAAATGCCCATGGCGGCCTCACGCAGCACGCTCCTCTTCTTCCACTTGCCCTCATCGATGTTGTACATCTCCACGACCTTCAGGGGCAGCTGATTGGTGCCCACACCCCCGATCACCATGATCCGCTTCCCCAGGGCGGTGACGGCCACCCCGGCCCGGGCGGTGGGCAGGGGGGGCAGGGCGGTCCACTGGTCGGCCTCGGGGGAGTAGACCTCAAAGCAGTCCATGGGGATGCCGTTGTCGTCACATCCCCCGATGGCATAGACCTGCCCCCCGGTCTCCAGCAGGGAGCAGTAGACCCGGCGGCTGGGCAGCGGCGCCAGGCGCTTCCACTGGAAGTCCTTGACGTTAGGCACCTCCATGGCAGCCCCGGGGGCCCCGCCCGCCGCGCCCCAGTGCCCGCGGAGCGCCACGGCGCCGCGGGAGGTGCGAGCCCGGGGGGCCCGCCCGCTACTCCGCGCCCCCTCTCGCCGCCTCCATCTGGCTCCCGTCCGCCGGCTCCCGCCCGACCCCGGGGCAAGGGCCCCGACGCCGGCCAGCGCTTCACAGTCCCTCCAGACTGCGCGGTCCGGCGGCGTCCGCGCCTGGCCCTGCGGGAGGGATGGGGCGAATCAAGGGCGGTCGGGGCCCCGCGCCCTCGCCTCCTCGCACCGCCGGCGGGGCGGGCTGGCTCCCGGCTCCCAGGTCCTGGCCAACTTCAAAGGGAAGGCGGCCGAGGGCGCCACCCCGCGGCGGCATCGCGCCCCGCAGCGCGGTGTCCCCCGCCCCTCCCGGTCGGCGGCTCGGACACCCGCGGGGCGCACGGCGGGCGGGGGCTTTCCGGGGCTCGCGGCGCCCGGCAGCCTCCCGGCGGAACAAGGAGTTAACACCTCCCGGCGCCGCCGCCTCTCTCCCCCCGCCCCCGCTCCCCTTGCCCGCGCCCTCCCGCCCACGCCCCCGCGCCACTTACACAGCCAGGCCCGAGGAGCGCGGCGGCGAGGCGCAGACAGCGCATCACCCGGGAGCGGGGAGCCCCCCCAGCGCTGCGGGGAGCTGGGGACAGGGCGCGCTGTCCTTCCCCAGCCCGCACACCGCTGTCACACGTGCAGACGAGGAGAAGGAACGAGCAGCGCGAAGGAGAAGCGGAGCCGCCCGGGAGAAGGAGGCCCGCCAGGCTGCTCCACGCACATCCCCGCCCGCAGCCGCCACACCTGTGCAGGAAGCCGCGTGCGCCCGGCGGCGGCGGCGGCGGCGCAGGCCGTGACCTCTTTACATAAGCGCTGGCAGCGTCCGCCCGCGGGGGAGGGGAAGGGCCCCTCGGGGAGACGCTCACCTTGTCTACAGGGTCAGAGAGGCGGGGCACTGGAGCCAAGTACCCAGATGACAGGAACCAGACTCCTTCCAGCGTGGGGGTGGGCGGTCTGTGAGTGTTTGTTTTGGATGAAGAGGCGGAGAGTCCAATTACCCAGTTTATCTACAGTACACAGACCCAGTTCGTGACAGGCTGGCTCAATAGTCAGCTTTGCTTTGGGGAAGGTATTATCAAATGGTTTAACCTCATAGAAACAAGTTATGTGGGTGTGACCCGGGGAGACCTGCCCCGGGTGCACCCAAACATAACGTATACACCGACCTGCACACACGTAGGCAGAACGTGCACATCACCCTACCCTCTCTCACCCGGAAACTGACATATTCACGGAGTAACTGACAAAGGTACAGACATGTGGATACCTAACTGGAGACACCCACATAGACAAACACATAGGGGGACCCCCCCCCACACACACACACTCTCATCCCTTTTTCACACACCTTGGGAAGGGGAAACCCGGTTGTTCAATGTTGGCACTCAGCACCAACCCACAGGGCTTACCAAATAGTTTCTCCAAGCCACATTCTCAGGCTCTTCAGGACAGTAGACCCCCGGTAACACATCAGCCCATGACACCCGTGGGTCCCCTGGTCTAATGGACTTCTAGGCCCGATGGGGTCCTCCTTCTTCTTGGTTCCCTTGAACAGAGTCAAGTCTCCAAACGCTCAGGTTTGGCAGTCTGACACCTACCTGAGTTTGAATTCTGGCCCTGAAATTGTTTTACCACCCTGAGCCCCAATTTCCTTATATTATTTGAATTTATCTCTTTTTATTTGGAGATAAATTGTAGATTTACATGCAGGGGGAAGAAATAGAACCATTTACCCAGTTTCCCTCAAAGGTAACATTTTGCAAAGCTTATAGTACAGTAATATCACAACCAGGATATGGAAATTGATCAGTGAAGGTACAGAACATTTTCACCACAAGACAAGGGTTCTTTGTGTTGCCTTTTTATACCCACACCTGCTTCCCTCCCACCTTTTGTTCTCCAACCCCTGGCAACTACTACTCTGTTCTCCGTTTCCCTCATTTTGTCTTTTCAAGAATGGATTAGTTAGATAAATAGAATCATAAAGTATGTAACCTTTTGGGATTGACTAGGAACCCCACCTCCACCCCCAACATAATTCTGTGGAGTTTCATCCAGGTTGTTGCATGCGCCAGTAGGTCATTCCTTTTAATTTCTGAGTAGTGTTTCATGCTATGGATGGCTCCTGGTAGATTTTTGGGAGGATTAAATGAGATACTGTTTGTAAAACAGTTCAGTTTCTGACACATAGCAAGGGCTCGGTAAATCGCTATTAAGACCATGGCCAGCAACTATTATCAACAAAATGCAGAAAAAGGGAAACGGAACAAATACAAACTTTTGCCCCTTGTTTAGAAATGACTTCCTGTGAGAAACAGAAGTCACAACTCATCTTAATATCTTGTGTTCTTGGCTTAGAAATTGAACTGCCTTTTTTTGTTTGAATTCTCTGTGCTTACAAAGTAAGCACCTCTAGAACCTTCAGAGGAAGGTTGTGTTCTGTTTTCTCTATTCAGTAAGAACTCATAAATTCCAAAAGAATGTGGTCTGAATTAATGAAGTTTTACAGGAAACGCCAACCGTTTCTCTTTCTTCCCAAGGATCACAATCTGCCCAGAGGAATAGGGAATAGATCCTCGACCCCCAACTTGAACTGTGTTCAGAAGACCAGCACAGGGTGAGTAAGAAGACTGAAAGCCATAGGTCTTCCTCAAAGGGTCTCGTGGGGGACCCGTCTTCAGCTTCTTTTGTCTACTGAGCCTTTTACCAAAGCAATGGGGCAAGGCTCCTGGAGTCCCCACCCACCCCAGCTGGGGGAGCTTACTAAGCTGTTATACACAGTTCCATATGATGTTGTGTTTGCAGAACTCCTCGAACTGACCTAAGTCCTCACACATCCATTTTCTCGTAATTTTTTTTTGAATTTTTTTTTTCAACGTTCATTTATTTTTGGGACAGAGCATGAACGGGGGAGGGGCAGAGAGAGAGGGAGACACAGAATCGGAAACAGGCTCCAGGCTCTGAGCCATCAGCCCAGAGCCTGACGCGGGGCTCGAACTCCCGGACCGCGAGATCGTGACCTGGCTGAAGTCGGACGCTTAGCCGACTGCGCCACCCAGGCGCCCCCATTTTCTCGTAATCTTAAAACAACCCTGGGAAAGATGACGGGGGCAGGTATCGGTTTCCACTTTTTACAGGTGAGGCAGCTGAGACTTAGTGAGGTGAAGTAACGGACTTACGACCGTCCGAGGGCCGACACCAGGGTCTCGCTTGTGAATTCCGAATCTAACCCTCTTCCACTTTAACACAGTTAAATCACAAATGAAAGAATTGCGTATTCCTAAGGACACCAAGCTTTTCAACTGTCACCTGGCTTCCGGCTTCTTGTCCAATTACACTGAAGGAAGGAGCCCAGGCCCCCAAAGGGTTCCGGCAACGGCTCTGCCCGTTGCCATATTGTGTGCTGGGCAGCATAACTGGGGAAGGACTGGAATCCAATCCCAGAATAGGCCCCCTTCCAGCCTAACGCTCATGTTTTGCAAGCACCGCCCTCCATGAGGACCGCGGGATCTAGGGACTCAGACCCTTGGAAAAGTAGTGAGAATAGGATGCCTTTCAGGTCGTGGCCTGATTGCTTGTTCTGGAAGTCCTGGCTTCTCTCCATCTCCCCATCTCCATCTCTCCATCTCCTTCCCCCATGGCTCTTCCTCTCAGCCAGGTGACATCCTTTAATCCTTACATTGAGTGCACATTGAGGAAACTTGTAACCTAGCAACTGCCACTTAAGATTCCCTGAGTCACGGGCGGTTTCCATGCCTGGGCAGAGTGCACCCAGCTGGGGCCTGAAGGGGCACCGAGCAGAGGCGGGGAGTCCAGTGACCCCTTTGATTCCTCACCACCCCGTTCCACAGGGTGGCCATTTCCCTGTCGGGGAGTTCTTCCTCACGTCAAACCCAAATCCCTCTTGCTCTGAGACCTTGCAATCACATCAGGCCTGGGTTTCTCTTCTCTCTTAGAAAGGCTTTGACTCTTTGCCTTGGTCACAAGGTGGCACGGGGAGGGGAGAGAAGCGGGGGAAGGAAAGTTGATGAAAGCCTCTAATGATAAAGCCTTTGGTACTGTGGAGTCTTTCTTTCTTATGTGATATTGCTGCGTCAGACTTGTTGAAGGGGTGCTCAGCTCCAGAAAGAGTCACTCGGTATTTTTTTTTTTTTTTCTAAAGTTGCACCTAGGATCTAGTACAGTCTCTTTTATACAGAATACAACGCACAGTTTGACTCGGTAGTGACTGGGTTTATTAGGTATTCAGCAGGGGCCTGCCGTCACCACCTTGGGGTAGCTCGTGGAGAAGCTGAGGGTGGGTAGGGACAATTTCGTCCCCGTTAACTAGCAGAGTCCCGGCGTGGCAGACCGTGGGTGGAGGAGGTAGGTAGGGCCACAAGGGACTGGGGAATCCCAGGTGCAGGGTACATTTTGGGGAGACAGGAGAGAGGAGCTGTTTAGTTATTAGAAACTAGAACAGCTCCTTCTCCCTCCTCGGAAATACAGTTTACCTTCCTGTCGGTGGGAGGGGGGCGCCACCTGGACGCCCTCTGCAGGGTACCGGGAGGGCTGGAAAGATGCATCTTGAGTTCCTGGAGGCCGGGATCACCTTCTCTCCTTAGTTCTTTGTCTGCAGTGCCTCACAGGGCATGGGATAGGGGAAAGTGTGTGGACTCTGGCATTAGGCAGACTGGGTCTGAATCCTGGCTCGGACCCCTCTAGCTGTGTGACCGTGAAGAAGTCACTTATACCCCTGACTCTCAGTTCCTCATCTGGGAAAAGGGGAATAAGAAAATCTACTTTCTAGAGTTACGGGTGGAAAGAGATGCCTGGTGTAGATGCTGGGCATGTAGGAGGTAGTCTATAACGAGTAGACTTCTTTCCCCCCTGTGTGACGACAAGTTCCTGCACCCTGACTTTCTGCGTATCCAGACCGGTGAGCCCAGACAGCAGGTGCCCATTTCACACAGCAGGCATCTCACCGGGGCCCACACTCCTGTGCCCCACCGTGTCGGGGCCTACGTCTCGGACAGGATTTCTACCCTCTGAGAGCACCGAAATCTCTCCCGCTAACTAAATTGCATTCTGATCTGGAGAACAGCTGTCGCCCTTCCTGCAGAGAATCACCTTCTCATCCCTCACCAGAAGCCTGGCTGTGTTTAGGGGGTGGAAGTGACGATGGCCCATCCAATCAGAACTGAGGCTCCCTGTAGACCGAGGGAGGGATAAATTCCTCCCCCACACCGAAAAGCCTCCCTGGGGCGTCCTCCCGCCCCGTCCCAACAGCAGCCCAGAAGAAGGATTTAGGGCTCCAGAGGACTCGGCTGGAGATGATGTGACACAGGTGCCGGCAGTCGGAACCATAATCGGCCTCTGTTCACGTGGCACTGCCACCCGTGGGGTTGGCAGTCTGGGGTCCCGAGGAATGGCCTCCTCCTGACCCTGCAGCCCTGACTAGATGGGCGGCGGAATCGGCCACCTTCCTTCAGCCACCGGCCCTTCTCCCTCCTCCCCCAGGGCAGAGTGGGGGGCGGGGCGTGGGGCCCAGAGGGACTCAGTGGGTATCAGGTAAGGGGTGCATCTGATGGAAAGTGCGGCTCAGGTATGTGATGGTGGGATGGGGGGAAGGGATCATCTTGGTTTTCAGACTCAGGAGCTGCATGATTTAGAAGAGTCAGGAAGCTGCCCCCTCCTCTGCTGTTTCAGGCCTAGAGATGAGAAGGACAGGAGCAAGCGAGACCTTCTCTGAAAGACCTCGGCCCCTGCCCTGTGCCGACTGAGGAGGTCGTAAGAGGAAATGGGACTTGGAATAAAGCCTGAGGATCTGGGTTATAAAGAGGGAAGAACTTCAGAGGCCCAAGAGCCTCAGAAAATGGAAAGAGCAGCATGAGGTGGGAGGAGAGGCCGTGGCGTCACCTGCCCTGGGAGATACTGGAAATAGGTAAGACACGGGACCAAGAGCCAGGAGACTTCTGTTCCAGCCACATTTTGCCCCAACTGGGCCGTGCACCTCCGGACCAGTCTG